TTTTCTTTTCTTTTCTTTTCTGGGTTTTTTTTTTTTTTTTTTTTTTTTTTTTTTTTTTGGTCTTTTTGGTGGCTGGCCGTATGGGGATCTGAATCCTTGACACCACGTTCTAACCAACTGAGCTAACTGGTCAGCCCCTTGGCTGCCCTTTTCCACATGTCCTCATTCCTGTCTGAACAGGGATTTCCAGGACTCATGTCCTCAGCTGGGGGTAGCAGAGGACTGGGCCAAGTCTCCACCTGCCTCCCAGCCAGGCTCCTCCAGACCTCGGGTTTAGTGTAGCCCCCAGAGCACAGGCCTGTGTTTAGTGACTCACTGATCTGACACGTTTCAGAGGATGGTGCTCCTGCTGAGAAGCCGGTCATTGCCCTCTGCCTGCAGCCACGGAAGGGGGAGGGCATGTGCCTGTGTGTGAGGAGGGAGGGAGGGAGGGCAGGGCCTGTCTCTCACTCCACCGCCCTTGGCCCAGCCCCATCAACTGCCCTCTTTTTCTTGGCATTCAATGGCCTGTCCAAAGATCATCTCTCTTGGGCAGCAGAGAGCTTTTTTCTTTAAAAAAAGAATGGAAGGAACGAACGGTTGGAATTTCTTTTAGTTCAATATTTATATGTGTGATGACCAATAGTGGCAGCCTGTGGCCAGAGCTTATAAATGATAGATGCAAAATTGCACTCTGCTCCCTATCTGTAAGGATATTGATAGCACAACCTTGTCCCTGCCCCTCATGCACCTTCCTGGCCCCTTTCCTGTAGCCATCTCAGGCTTTCCTCCTCCTAAAGCCCTATGTGGGGAGGAGATGGAGCCAGGCACCAGGGGTCTGAAGTGCGATCCACCCAGAGTACAGACCTCAACCACATGCTTGCAACTTCCAAAGCAGTAGAGGCAGAGGGGTCCCCTCTCAGACACCTCACCCAGCTTTGTCCTGGCATTAACAGGCCTTCTTAGAGAATACTGGGTCCTGGTAGGAGATGGCATTCTATCTGTTTCTTCCAATCTGCTGATTCTCTGGTCTGCACCTTAAAAACTGCAGTCTGTTCCCAAGACCTTCTGCCCCTTCATTCGTCTCCAGGCCCAGCACCCTCGGGCTGAAACTTTGAGGAAAAGCCAGTGACTTATTTCCAGGGTGCCTCAGTTAGGGCAACTTCTCTGTAAAGGACCCTGAGTACTGAGCAAAAACCTCATTAAGATTATTGTTAATGACCCATAACTGGAAGCTTCCTGCTTCTTTTGTTGTTGTTGTCGCTCCTGTGGAAAAACTGAAAAGATTACTTCTTTATGTATTTTTGTCTTTTTATCAAAGGGGAGGTGCAGAAACCCCTTCAGAGCAGGGATTGTGCAGGGAGAGTGTCTCTGACTTTGGGATATTTTATCTATAGAAATTTCCAAGCAGATAGTTTTTTTGTTTTTTTTTTTAAACATGACCGGTAAGGGGATCTTAAACCTTGACTTGGTGTTGTCAGCACCACACTCAGCCAATGAGCTAATCGGCCATCCCTATATGGGATCCAAACCTGGGGCCTTGGTGTTATCAGCACCACACTCTACTGAGTGAGCCACGGGCTGGCCCCTGATAGTTTGTTTTGAGTTTTGGTCTTTACATTTGTTTGTTTGTTTTTTGGTTGGAAAAACAAGCATTTTTACGATGCATGTAAATTGGTCAGCAGAAAAGGGAGCTCAGGAGTGGTGGCAAATGGACCAATGTCCCTGCTGGGTTTCCCTTCTCTTAGGGACTGGGAGGGGAAATGGTTTTCATTTGTGAGCGAGTGTCTGTTTGGGGACAGAGGAACCAGGGGAGTTTCATCGCATTTCCTGCCACCTAGATCATTTCCTGCTCTTAGATCCAGCCTTGCTAAGAGAGTCTCAGACTGCAGGGCCTACCCTGCCCCCATCTTTCCAAACACCGGGGCAAAAAACCAGAAAGGACAAGAAAATATCTATACATATGTACATAATGTAAAAACAGTTGATGCAGGGCCGGCCCGGTGGCGCACTGCTACAGTGCGCCGCTTGGGAGCGCGACGGCACTCCCGCCGAGCTTTCGGATCCCACATACAGACCGGCTGCTCACTGGCTGAGCGAGGTGCGGGCGCAACACCGAGGGTCGTGATCCCGTTGCTGGTCCCTGTCCGGTACGGGCGCAACACTGAGGGTTGCGATCCGTTGCCGGTCACGAAGAAAGACAAAAAGAAAAAAAAAACAAAAAAAAAAACAGTTGATGCTTTAAAAAAAACTCCTCTGAAAGAAAAAAGAAAAAAGTTAAAAGAATGAAAACACACACACACGAATAAGAGAATAAACAAAAACTAAAAGAAAGAATAAAAATAGGAATATTTTTAAAGTGAAACAAATAAATCTGCTCATAAATAAAATTCCGAAAGTCACTTTATTAAAAGGTTTGGTTATGTTTCTTTGTTTTGGGGGAAATATTGTAAATATGTATTCCTCTTTGCTGATTTAGCCATTCTCAGATGTTATACTACAATTGTAAATTAAATGTAAGCACTAAGGGGATAAATGCATGTAAGGGGAAAAAGTCCTCTGGTAGAAGGTGAGGGCTTATAGCCAGAGGGCAAAAGCCCATCTAAACAACTCTAATCACTGTTTAGGTATGGGAATGTATACTTTAATGAATTTAGAGCTAACAGGTGGTTGTCAGACCGATCCTGTAAGAGATTTTAAGAATTGCTGAAAGATGTGAAAAAAATGTTTGCTAGGGGCAAGCTGTCTGTTGGGGGAAACTTTAGAAATAATAGTACTTAGACTTTATAAGAATGTAACTTATGCTTAAGGAGAGGTTATACTTTAATGAGCCAGTTTAACCAACATAGCTTTTCACTAATTTTACTTTGGAATGTCACATTGTTAATTTTACTGATGCTACTAGTTTCCATTGCTTAAGCTGTACTCAGCCATAGATAACTTTTGTAACACTGCCCATGTCCTTGTGTCCTTTTGTAATGATTGAATCAACTGAATTTTCCTGTGAAACATCCTTGTCTTTACAATAAAAAACAGAAGCTAACTTTGAATGGCTGCTGTAACCAGTTTTCTCTGGGATACAGACCCTTCGGGCTTCTTAATGCATTCATGGTGCTTTGAGTAATCCTTTTTTCATCTCCGTTACACAGTAAGAAGTGTAACATACCAGCTCCCACCTTTCTCTCCCACCGTCTCAGGTTCTGCCTCTGCAGAATTTGGCAGATCTGAGCCGGGTTCCATAACAAAAAGTAAAAAACAAACACAACCCCAGGAAGCTACTGCCACCCTACACTTATCAGATCGACATGGATCAACATGTTCCATGCCATCTGGGGTTGATGAGGCCGGGGTCAGCAGCCACTCACAGGCTCCAGAGAGGGCAACTGAGCAATGTCTTTCCACGTCAAAAAGCCCACTCCTCCCCCCAGTAACACGCTGCCTACACACAATTCCTTGCCAGGTGGGATGTCTATCCATGTAATTCATTGTAACCACTGAAGCCTGACGTTAGATGCAGGGAAGAAAAAAATCTGCTGAAATGTAACTGACTAGAGACCAGTTATCAAGGACACTTCATGCTTTTTTGTTGTTGTTGGCGGCATAGAGATGGGAACCCTTGACCTTGGTGTTATCAGCATCACGCTGTGACCAAGTGAGCTGAACAGCCAGGCCTCGGATGCTTCATCCTTGAAGAGAAGCCCTTCCATTAAAGGGTTTGAGGAAAGGGCTGGCCCGTGGCTCACTTAAGAGAGTGTAGTGCTGAAAACACCAAGTCAAGGGTTAAGATCCCCCTACCGGTCATCTTTTAAAAAATAAAAAGTAATTTTTAAAAAAGGGTTTGAGGAAGGTCTACCATGTAGGGGTGAGAGGAGGTCACCCACTGTTGTCAGGAAAAGAAAAATCCTGGCACAAAAAGGGGGTTTGTGACCATTTAGGTAAAAACGAAAGACAAGTGCACACATGTATTCTTGGTTAAACTCCTGGGTGCTAAGTGGAAGGCCCTTAGGGGCCTTGTTTGTCCCTGTGGAGGAGCCAGGACTGGGTGGGACAGAAGAGGGTATGACCTATCACCTGGGCTCTCTTATGTCTTGTCAATTATTCTTTCTGAATGTGGGTCCAACCCAAAATAATATTTTAAAAAGGAGACATCAGTGAAGCTGGGCAGATCTCCCTGCCTAACAGGTCCCGGTGACTTCTGAAAGCCTGGTACAGGGCAGGTAAGGGAGAAAGTTCCTTGAGAGTGAGTCATAGGGGAGGGGTCCTCCTGGCTAGATTAGACTGCGAAAAGGTGAAGGAGAGAGTCAGGTCCTACACCAAGGGGTGTTGTAGGTGAGAGGATCATGGGCTTCATACACACCCCGGGCACAGTGCCACAAGGCCTGAGATTCGGACAAGGGCATGGAGAAAGCCTGGAAGGCACAAAGTACCATCACATCACCTTTGCCTTCGAGGCCACATCGTTGCACGGGGAAGAGGGACACAGGCTGCTTCTCACATCTGGCTGCTTCTCAGATTGGCTTTAGGCTGTGGTTCCAGGCGCTTCTGTATTCTCTGAGGGCCAGTAACCTTGCCTGGGGCCCCTTTCGAGGGGATCAGGGTGCCACTCTAGCCAAAGGTGAGACACACTCAGAGCCAAAGACAACAGGAACGGGTTATTGTTGTTACTACCCTCTGGCAGCACCGGCTCCAGCCACAAACACAGGACGAAAACGTCCTGAAACCTCCCCTGTTACCCTCAAGGCTGCTAGTACTCCACTCAAACGTCCTCTTTGTTTGGGGGCCTGGGGCAGCCCTGACCCTCTCTGTGATTCAGGGGGCACATCCTGGGTGGGTGGGAGGCTCGGGTGGGGCACACGGTTCCCGCACCGTCATCTCCTCAGTTCCCACCTCCCTGGCGTCTTCCCTCCCACAGTCTCAGGTTTGCCTCTGCAGAATGTGGCAGAGCCCACCCCGGTCCCTGTCGCCCCCGACAGAGCCTCACCCTGGCCCCGGACGAGGAGAAGCAGGAGCCCACAGGCCAGGGCGCTCAGCCGCGCGCGAAGTCGGTCCAGCTGCGTGGTCTGCTAGCAGGTCTTCCTTTGCACAGGGCGGGGAGCAGCTGGGGCGCGTGGCATTGGGGCAGGGCAAGGTGGGTCGGCAGGAGAGCGGGACGAGCGGGCACAGGTCACATGGGGAGCCAATGGCTAGCAAGGGCGGCTTGGCCTCTTTTCTGCTCGGTTTCCCTTTGGCCTCCTAGGAAGGAGCTGCGCGACTTTTGCAGTCCCTCTGCCATACCAAGCATCCTGTCCTCAAACCTGAAATCACTGCATTCACTGTCATTGTAGTCACAGGTCTGACAAGGATGTTGGGGGTGCAGGGGAGGGCGCAAAAGTCTGTAATTGGAGAACCCAGGAGGGCTTCTCTGAGGAAGTCCCCGGGGTGCCACTCCAAGTGGGACAGGGGTGGGGGCTGGTGTCTGGTCTTCCCTGCCAGGGGGGTGACTGAACCCTGAGGTGGGATGGGAGGAACTGAAGTTGATTTTAAAAAAAAAAATTAAGGGAATTTCCGCTAATTCAATTAGTAAAGAGGAGGGCTGGCCAGTCAGCCCAGTTGGTTAGAGTGCAGTGTTATCACACCAAGGTCAAGGGTTTGGGTCGTTCTGCCTGCCAGCTGCCAGACAAAACCAAACCAAACCCAAAGAGTCAATTAGTGAGACAGAAAATATATCAATAAAATAAAAAATTGGCGTGAAATTCAGATAACATACAATGGAACCATTATAAAGTGTACAATTCAGTGGCAGTTCATTTATTCCCAATATTATTCAGCTACCACATCTCTCTAGTTACACAGCTTTTTCATGACCACAGCAAAACACCATTAACTAATAAGTAATCACTCCCCCTTCCACCTGTTAACTTTATTTTTTTTATTTATTTATTTTTTTCAAAAGATGACCGGTAAGGGGATCTTAACCCTTACTTGGTGTTGTCAGCACCACGGCAAGTCCGGGTGCAGGTAAGTTACTCTCAGCGTCCGAGGGAGACGTTGTTCGGAAGAATCAGAAAGGTTCAGCTGTGCATTAGGGGCTGGAGTTCTGTCAGCTCACGAACAGTTAGTGGGCTGTTTGGGAGGGAGGATTGTTGTGCCCATTTTATGGATGAGGAAACCGAGGCTTCGTAGAAGTTAGACGAACTTGCTCAAACCAACCAACTAAGAAGAGGGGGTTTTTTCTGGAAGGGCCAAGACGCCTGACATCTCCCCCATCCATAACCAGGTGAGCGACCCTGAGAGCACAGTTGCTGTGGCCTTCACGCCCACCATTCCGCACTGCAGTATGGCCACCCTCATTGGCCTGTCCATCAAGGTCAAGCTTCTGCGCTCCCTTCCCCAGCGTTTCAAGGTCAGTTGGAGCTGTGCCTGGGGGTGAGTGTCTGCTACTGAGGAGGAGGATATCAAAGTAGGGCCTGAAAGGATCCCAGCCAGTAGAGATGAAACTGGGAGGAGGCTTTCCAAGTTGGTGTGACAAAGAATAAAGCTGTGAGCGGGAAAGTGCAGAAAAGTAGTCAGGAATGTAGCAGGAAGGGCATTAGGGAGCTGTGGATTGTTTGGGACTAAGGATGCCTTTAAATCAACAGTAGTTTGTCACTTCTTTGGATATAGTTGGAGTGGCTGTGGGTGGGTTTGGGGTGTAATAAAAGGGCCAGAGTCCAGGGACATGAGTAGGAGAAAGGATAAGCTGGAGTAGCTGAGGACCTGGGGCGGGGGGGAGCACGTGGGTGGGCACCGGTGGGTGGCTGCTCAGGCTCTGGATATCTCCCTCTCAGATGGACGTGCACATTACACCGGGAACCCACGCTTCAGAGCATGCAGGTAAGTTTGAGCTGGTGTGAGCGTTTTGCCCTGGGGCTCCAAGTTGTCTGAGGCTCCCCCTTTGCCACAGTGATTGGTGGGACATGATTAGGGGTTGGGGACTGGGTCATATTGCCAGAGACTCCACTGAAGGTGGTAGCCTGGTCCAAAGCTGGCCTGACTTGAGTCTCCTGTGCTTGCTGTGTCCTCCCCTCTCCCCAACCTCGAACCAAAGTGTTTCAAGCTTCAGCAGTACAGGAGGCAGACATAAGCAGCCAGATGGGAGGGGTCTGAAGAAGGCAGGATAGGTGTGGGCTCACGAGGTTGAAGTAGCTTGATCAAGGCTTGGAGTCCTGGGAATGAGGTTACAGGAGGGCCTTGTTGGTGGGGACTTCACCTGTACAAAGGCTTGGAGGTGGGGCTGGCTTGCAGCTGGCCAGAGCCTGGCTTTGACACTGTCCTTCCCACTCCCTCCTTCCTGCCCAGTGAACAAGCAGCTTGCAGATAAGGAGCGGGTGGCAGCTGCCCTGGAGAACACCCACCTGCTGGAGGTTGTGAATCAGTGCCTGTCATCACGCTCCTGAGCCTGGCTTTTGACCCCCAGCCTGCACACTGGTGTCCCGATCCCAGCTCCACATGGCCTTTTTTTTGTTGAATCACTGACAATGAGAAACTAACATTTTGCATTTTGTAATGCACCCTTAATTTATATTCATTTCCCAGCATGACTTAGCATCTTTCATCTTGGTGGAGTCACTTGGGGTTTGAGAGGGGGTGGTGGTTGTGAGTGCCTGTGCAGGATGGATCTATGAGGTGCAGTTTATTTATTTATTTAAAAAATTTCTCTCAGTGTTTCAATTAGGGAAAGTTACAAGTATACCAAAATAAAAATTTTAAAAAAGGAAAGTGTAGTGTATGAATATACCCATATACCCACCACCACCACTAGATTCAACAGTTGTTGACCTGTGGAACACTGGCCTTATTTTTGTGTATGTATGTAAATATATTTGAGTAAGCTGCAGAGACGATTCTTTACTTTTAAGTACTGCATCCTACATGTATAACTGTAAGCCTATATAACCACAGTACTTTTATCTGACCAAAAGATGACAATTCCACACCACCACTTAATATACAGTCATATAGGCATTTCCTCAAAATGTCATTCATAATTTTTTTTTAATTAAAAATTAGACTGCAGTAAAGGTTTATGTATTGCATTTGGTTGTTAACTCTCTTTAGCCTCTTCCAGAATTGTCTCTGTCACTCCCCACCATTGTCTTTTTTGGCACTGACTTTTTTTCTTTTTTTTTTCTTTTAATTTTTATTGAATCAAAATTGATTATACATATTTTTGGGTTTCAACATTGAGATATGTTGATCAAATAAATATTATTACCATATATATTGTTACAAATTGTAATTATTCTTTATGCCCCTTGTCCAATCCCTCCTCATCCCCCTTCCTCTCCCCCTGCCCCCTCTAATCACCCTAGATTTCTTCTCTCCCTCTGAAAGAATAATGGTTACTTTGTTGATTTGCTGCCCAAATGATCTGTCCAATGCTGAGAGGCGTGATTAAGTCCTCCAATACTACCATAGAGCAGATGTCTCTTCCGTCACTATGAAATGGGCTCTGTGGAGACAGACATCCTCCTTTCTTTATCTCTGCTGGTGACTCTCCTTATGTCAACTCACTCCAGTGGCTGGTGGACCATCTGTGTGGTGGTTGTGGCATCTAGCCGCTTCTGCGGCAGCCATGGTTATCGTGGTAGCTATGGTGGGCCACCCATATGGAGGAGATGTTTTGGCCTGCTCTGTGGTGCTGGCAGTGTGCCTGGTTGTGGAGAGTGTCTGATCCCCAGTTCCGTGCCCTTGGTCACCAGGTGGGTCCCAAGGCACTGGCACAGTGTGCTTGGTTGTGGGAGGGGGGGTCCAGTCCCCTTTTCCATCGTGACACTGACTTTTTTGAGAAGTCTGGGTGAGTTGTCCTAGAGAAGTTCCAGAATCTGATTTGTTCTTTGGTCTGCTGTCTTTCCTGTAAACTGGAAGTTGGTCTAAAGGCCTGAGTGAGTTTGGTTCTGAGTTTTTGTGAGAACTCAGGTGTATCTTATGTATTCTGTAACACCCACCATTAGGTGTATGATGCCAGCTTGTCCCACCTTTGGTAATTCTCAGTCTGGCCCACTGGTCAGTGCTGTGACGTCAGATTTCTCTGTTGAAAGAAACCTGAGGCACCCTTTCCATCAGCCTTCCCAGAGACATGTGTCACCCCAGGTCCTGGGTGAGAGGGAAGCTTAGCACCATGAGGTGATGTGCTCAGGTCCTGGACTTCTGCCTTCCCCTGGTCCTGTGCTCAAAGCACACTTGGTCACCTAGACAGACCATGGGGCTTAGACCTTGGCTTAGCCAGTTAGGAGCCCTTTCCCAGGGTTCCTTGCCTTAAGATTCCCTGTCTCAGGCTCTCTCTGAGGATAAATGGGAATATTAAGAAGTCTTGCCCAAGCCTACCCCAGCCCTGCTGAGGCTCGGATATGTGTGTGGGCAGAGACCTCAGGGAGCCTGGGCATTTGGCAAATCTGTTCTTGAGGGCTTGCTGGCAACATTGAGCCTGTCCTGAGTGGGCATAGGGCTGAGGGCTGTACACTTACTAGCTAGTCTGTTCATTCTTCATTCAGCCCTGGGGGCAGTTGCCATTCTTTATTATCCCCAATTTGCAGGTGAGGAAATGAGGTTTTTGAATAAATAATTTACTTCTCAAGACTTAAAGCTAGGCAGTATAGGTGAATCTGAGCAGCTTGTCAGGTGCTGCTCAGCTGGCAGGGGGTGCTGTTGCCTCCATAGAAGGGCCTGTGCCCACCCTCAACCCTCAATTTCTGTTGCCATCCCAGCTCCCTCTTAGAAGGGAGTAGCTGTGCCACCCAATGTCAGAGAGGGGGCTCAATCTGACTGCCCAAGATTAGAGAGGTGAAGCCAACAGCCCATGTCGCTCAGAGTTTCTTCATCTGTGATATGGGGGTAGTCATGGCAATCACTTGGGGTTGCTCAGTGGAGATATAAAATGGATAGGATGATTTTCTAGGCATTGTATCCCCCTTTGCCACAGATGAAGAAGCTGAGTGCTCCAGAGAGGCAGGGTGACCAGCCAGGTAGTCATGCCTCAGGGGGCCTTCCCGAGCTTTAGGCCTTACCACGTGTGCCTCTGCCCTGAACCTCTGCCCTGACAGTCCCCATCTGTCTGAGGTGGCTGTGGTGTCTGTGTTTAGCTGGGGATGGGGGTCATAGGGGAGGCAGGTGTTGCTGAGTCATTCAGCTGGCCCATCCTGGCATCCAGGCTGTGGTGGGTGAGGGACAGCAAGCTGTTCATGCCACAGCTGGCATATCAGATAGTCCCCTTGTCAGTCTTGACTCATCTGTTCCTGGCCCCTGACAGCCTTCAGGGACGCCATCTGTGCATACTGGGCCAGCACCCAGGGAACTTTCTGGAACCCCAGCTGCTGTCTGAGGACACAGGGGTACAGGAGCATGGTGAAGTCTGAGGTCCTTAAAACCTACCACCACGTAAGTCTCGCTCTGCCGTTTCTGGCCTGTGGCCCCTCGGGCCTTGTTTGCCATGTCTACAGAATGGGAACAACAAGTCATAGCTAAATGAGATTGAACTGGGGATTAAGTGACATGTATGAACATGCCCAGCTATGTGTATTTTTGCTCATCATCCTGCCCCCAGCACAAGGCCCTGGCACACAGTAGGTACTTAGTAGAGGTCAGTGGAATGAGTGAATGAGTTAAGCCTTGGAGCAGAGACCCTGGGGCAGGGGGCTGTGGTATGAGGAGCGGTGGGGACACTGAAGCCCAGCCAAGTTCCCTTTGCAACATTTTGTTACCTGAGTTAGGGGAGTGGGTGCGGGCTCCCACAGAGAGGAGATGGGTATGGGGGAGAGGGGAGAGATATCTGCATCCTTCCCAAGATCTGGACCCCTCTGCTGTGCAGACCACGATCCTAGAGAGAACGGAGCAGAAGGGGAGGGCCCACGGATTCACTCACCCTGCCCCATCCAAGCAAGGATGATAGTAAGAATGTTCTTATTGAGCTATTACTGTGTGCCAGACTTGAGCCAACTACTCAAGTCATAGTAGCATTTCATGTCATTTATGTGTGATAACAACCACCAGGAAGACATTATCCCTGTTTTACATGGGGGGAAACAGCCTCAGCCAGTATAAACCGACAGAAGTGAAACAGCTAGCAAGGGGCAGAGCTGGGATTTGAAGTACAGGGTGTACTAGGAGTGTTCCAGTCTCAGTTCCCGTCTCAATTCCTTCTGGGCAGCCAAGCTCAGCCCAGAGAGCTGGGAGGACCAGGTGGTGGGAGTGCAGGTGTCTCAAGCTCAAGTCCTGGTGTTGGTCTCTGGGTCCCCTGGTCATACCTAGACTTGTGGTGAGTGTCTCCGGCCTGTTGGGGCAGCCACTGGAATGCCTGGGGCCTGAGTGGCTTTTTGTGGATGCAGTTCCCTTGGCAATGAAGAAACACTGCTGAGGTCAAGTGCTTAGATTACCAGAGGGGAAATCTGGCCCCCTGCTGAGAAGGGCCATAGCTACCCCACACCCACCCTCTGCTGGACTCCCAGAGGCTCTTTCCAGTGGCAGTCATGGAGGTTGGGGGGGGGTGGGGTTCGTCCATTTTGTGTTGCTATAACAAATACCTGAGACTGGGTAATTTATAAGAAAAAGAGGTTTATTTGGCTTATGATTCTGGGACAGCTGCATCTAGCATGGGCCTCAGACTGCTTCTACTCATGGTAGAAAGTGGCAGGCAGCCGGCAGGTACAAGCAGATCACATGGCGAGAAGAAGCAAGAGAGACAAAGCAAGAGAGAGAGAGAAGGTGCCAGAGTCTTTTTAAGCAACGAGCTCTTGCGGGAACTAATAGAGCGAGAAATCACTCATTAATCTCCCCTCCCCCAGGGAGAGCATTAATCCATTCCTGAGGGATCTGCAACCATGACTCAATCAGTTTCCAACACTGCCACATTGGAGATCAAATTTCCACATGAGTTTTGAAGGGGACAACACATCCAAACTCCATCAGGAGGCATAAGTTGCCCAGCCAGAATTCCTGATGGGAGGTGGTACACTGGCTCTTGAGACTTCTGTCCTCTGACAGGAGGCTCATCCCATGACTCCCTGTTCCCACTCAACTCATCCACGAAGCCAGAGCCAGCATAGGGCTGCCCAGGCCTCCAAGATCCCCCAGGACCGTGGGGAGGACACAAATGGGCACACAACCCATCAGACCAGCTCTCGCCTACTTTGGGGACCTCAAGAACAAGAGGGCCCTACACGAACCCATTAACCTTATCTAGCCAGGCCCTCCTCAATCCAAGGCCTTCTTAGGTGTTGCCACCGAAACTGATGCAGCAGCCAGAGTCTGGCCCAGGTCTCCATGACAACCTAGGACAGCCCACCAGGTTTCATCCATTTGTAATGTCATGAGCCCCAAATGGGTGCCCTTCCACCCCCACAACTTATCACAATCAAACGTCAGAGTCTGATAGCAGATCCCTGTCACAAAACACTTCACAGCCTCCAATCGTCACACACTTCAAAGATGGGCAAGGGGATAATAGTTTACGATGCCCTGTTTATTTATTTATTTATTTAAAAAGATGACCAATAAGAGGATCCTAACCCTTAACTTGGTGTTATCAGCACCACACTCTCCCAAGTGAGCCACCGGCTGGCCCTATGATGCCCAATTTAAAGCTGGGTATCCAGAGGCGGGACAAAGGCAAGACCAAGTAGGCTGGAGGCAGAGTCAGGTCTAGAAACCAAGCTGCCCCACCACATCTCCTTCCCGCTGTGCCCCAGGCCCCCACCCTAGGCCTAGGGGGAGGGTGATTGAGCTCTGGGCAGTGGTGGCACCAAGTGGGGACTAAGACACTCCCCACCCCTTGACCATTTTCTGCAGTTATGCCCCTCCTGGGTAGGGGTTTGAATGTCCAGGCCCCGATGTGCCCTGGACAGGTCCAGCCTGGGGCTAGAAGGAAGGAGGGAGACCTTGAAGGGGGAAGGAGGGAGACCCTGAAGGCTCTAAAGTGGCTGGTTCCTGCTGGCATCGATGCCCGTCTGCCTGGATTTCCCCAGCTCTGGGCAACCTCCAGCCCAGAATGACCAGGAGTAGAGCCAGGGGCAGATATTTTTAGCAGACTGGCTGGCAGCTGCTTGGTGGGTGCTGGGGGGCAGGGTAGAGAGTTCATCCTTTCCCTTTTCTGGGCTGGTGTTTGCTCCCCAGGATGCAAGCACACACCTGCACATGCAACACATTCTGGATAGCCCCCAATGCCCCCAACTGTCCTGTAAGGGCTCCCAGGGTCTGGGGAGGGGTGGTGGTGACACCAGACCTTGCCCTGAAGGGCAGGGTCATTAAGGAGAATCTTCAACTCCCCAGGACAGGGAAGGGAGTGGGAAGGATTTGGCATTAAGGCTGGAAGCCCCAATTTAGTACTCCTAAATTCTAGCTCACACCTGGGCCTGTGGGGAGTGGGTGTCTTGGGCAGAGAGGGTGGATCTCTGTCCGGCCCATAACCGGTTTACTTGCTTGGGCAACAGGCCAGGACTGGGAGAGAGGGA